GGGTTTAGGGCTTAGGGCAAAAACCCTCTGCCTCCCAAGTGCCCCATGCACCGTCAATGCAGCCCACACGGCAGCCTGAAGAATTTCGAGACGGATTAGCCGATTAGCTTTGTTTGGGTGCGGTTACAAAAGGGTTTCGGATCTATTTAGGGCTCAGGGGTTATTAAGGGACAATATAGTCTCAAAAAGCCCCTACATAACCCCAAGGGTCCCTTTAAGGGTCTCTCCTTTGGTCCCTTGAAATTTAGGGGTTTAGGGTTTTGGGTTTAGGGGGCTTTTGGCATCTTGGGGTTGGGAGTGCAGTAGGGGTTTTGGGGCTGGAGGGAAGGAGTCGGAATTACAGGCCTTACCACTGGGATCCCGAGTATCCTAGGACCACAAAGAGGTCCTTTCGTCCCTCTTTGGTCTAAAGTAGCTTAAACAAGGAACCTAAGACTACAAACAACAGGAAGGCATCTGGAAAGACCTAGGTTTAAGAGGAGGAAAACCCTTTAAGACTCAGCGGTGAACGGCAAACCTTCGGCGCCAGGGCTTTTAGGGTTTAGGCCTCTGGGGTTTAAGGTTTAGGGCTCTAAGGTTTTTAGGTTTCAGAGTGGAGTGAAGCCAGTGGTGTTGAGTCTTCAAAAGCCCGACGCGGTCTAGCCAAGCTGTGACACTCTCTCCCCAACCCTACAAGCTAGATAGCATACCCTGAAGCCTCAAACCCCGATCCCCCGAACCCTCGTTTGATCGGACGAAACTTCTCACGCCGCACCCCTAAACCCAGAGAACCTCCAAGCCCGATCGAGATCTCGTTGGGGGCTTCAGGCTTCAGGGCTTAGGGGGGTTTAGCGCTTTTTGAACTGAGGTGTTAGGGTTTTGGGCTCAGGGTTTTGTGATCGGGTTTTTTGGCCTATAGGATAAAAAAACTGACATTTAGGACATTCAGGGTTTAGAGTTTAGGCTTGAAGGGCTGTGAGCCCGATGCTGCTGAGGACTTCGACAGAAACTCACTTGACCTACCCAAACCCACTCTTTTGTAGTGTCCCTCTAGATCCCCTTTTGGGTTTTCTTAGGAACTTACAAAGAGGCAGGTTATGGTAGGCTTTAAAGGTTGGGTTTACATTTAAGGTTTTTCTAGGAATCTCCTTACGCAAGCGTGTTCTATAGGGAAGCTGGCAGGCAATTCTAGTGTAGGCGGTCTGAACAGTTCGTAGTATGAGGTTCCTTTATAGCCCCAATCCCTCCATGCTGCTCTGTTCAAATTAACAAGGCTCCTATGCTAAGCTTCTAAAATGTAGCCCTTTATAAATCGTTGTGACAGCCCTGATAACCGCCCTATTGGCATTCAAATTCATAAGACCCCTTTTTTTCAGGCTGTTCACCATGAGCCGCCTCATCTAAGGGCCACAATAGCTAACATCGAGGCCTTAATATCATTTCAACTGGGGTATGCTTATATTGTTGTATGGGGACTATATTCCGAGTTATTCCGAGCCCGAAAGTGGAAAGGTCTAGGGATCGTGTTCAGGATTCAGGGTCTCGGCCTAAGCCTCAAACCAACAAATTCCAAACCCTGAACCCTACCCTAACCCCGAATAGCCTACCTTTTTAAGGACTTATAAGGGTCCCTCAAAAAGGTAGCTTTTATAGGGTCCAGGCAGAGCTCACGGAGCTTAGGTTTCAGGGCCTTCATTGCAGAGTATCAACGTCTCAACTCTGTACGGCCACTTATCTTGGTAATCCGCGGAAGCAGGAACCCTTGAACCTTTCTCTAGGGTCTCTGCACCAATCAGCAACTGGCTAGGCAGCAGACTTTGGTTGTTGCACACTTCCAGCTCTGACATGTCCTGCAGACGATGGTCGGTGCGGGGACCGCCCCTTGCAACTCCACAATCAAACGTCCGAGGCCCGAAACAACTACAGTAGGGGCGCGTGGTGTGCCATTGCAATTTGCTTTGCAGATGTATTTTGCAGATTTACATTGAGGCGGGAAAAATCATGTTTTAAAGCACCTTGGCTTGCAGCCGCTTATGGCTTAGAGGATTCGATATTTCAGGGTTCCCTCTAACTACGAGAGTTACTCTAAGGGTTGCTCTAAGGTTTAGGGTTTTGAGGTGTAGGGTCGAAGGAGAAAGACAAAGCAAAGCCGTTCAAGGAAACGTACCCCCGGCACCCTGCAACCTAAACCTCCCTAAACTCTAAACCGAAACTCTAAAACCTAAACCAAACCCACGAACCCTTAACTCCAGGCCCCTGCACCCTGAAGCCTAAACCCGAAACCCCCAAAACCCAACCATCTAAACCCTAACGACTCATGGTGCGGCCCTGAAAGGTTTAAGGGTTCAGTGTTTAGGTTCATTTTTAGGCCTTAGGGTTTAGGGTTTAGGGGTTTATAGGGTTTAGGCTTCAGGGTCGAGATTCTTCCCGCGTTTGCCGTGTCGGGTTTCGGGTTGGGGTTTGGAGGTGGAGTGTGTGGTACAGCGAGACATATCGTGTACGGAGTCAAACCCAGTTTGCTCGAAATCTGCCTTTCCGCAAGGTTATCTCTAAAACGCCCAACCCTAAAACCACAAACCCTCAATCCCAGAGAACGGCTGAAAAGTTCAGGTGCAGCATCCACTGTCTCTAGGGTTCTCTTGATTTAAGGGGTCTCTACCCTAAATTGCTTGTAGATGGAATTCTCAACAGTGAATACGTAAACCCTGAAGAGTAGCCAGAGTCGGAAGCGAGGCTTTTTGTCTGTCCTGCGGTGGTTGCGTGCACCCCTCCGTTTCAGGCGCGCTAAGTTGCAACTCTTGTCCGGGAACCGGCCAACGAAACCCTAAGGAACGCGGCGAAAGATCCTGAAACATCAGCTTTGGTGTTATGGAGGCTGAAGGTTCAGGGGACTGAGCTAGACGAAGTTCAGCCCCGAAGTTCTTTCGAAACCCCGAAAGAGCTCTAAACCCAAAAGCAGAGTCCGAACTACGGATACGGTGGCGTCGGGCGCAGAGTGCCGGCTGGCACCCCATCACCGCCGAGAGGGGCATGGAAGCTGTTCAGCGGCGGTGAGGGCCGAAGATGCTGCCTTGCCACAGCAAGGGTTATAGGATTATAGGGTTTAGGGTTTAAGCTTTAGGGGTTTAGGGTTTAGGGTTATAGGGATTGGGGGTTAGGGTTTAAGGTGAAGGCATCCCTTGAGGGCTCCTGTAAAGGCTTCTACCGGCATTTAGGTTCTAAGGCTTCGACCCACGGGCTTCTGTGAGGCTTTTTGAACGGGTCCCTCGACATGGACTTAAGAGCTAGAACGAGGATTGCTTTCTAAATGGAGCTTGTTCAGGGTCTGGGTAAGCATAGGATCTCTCTTAGCAGGGTGTGCTTTTGGCCTTTACAGGCTGAGCGTCGCTGGGTACAGGGTTCCAGGGGCTTCAGGAACTTCGGGATCCCCCCTAATTGAAGGAAGCGACTTTAGGGGGCCTTGAGAGTTAAGATACGGCTTTGAGGGAAAGTTCTAGCATAACTATCGTAAGGAAGGCCCCTTTCTTTGAAGGGTCCTACCTTTCGGCTTCGGTATTTAGTATAACTCTCAAAAGGAACACCCCCTTTTCCGAAGGATCCTACAAAGTTGGCTTCGGTGCTGAGGTTTCCTGCGTCGTGGCGGTTCTTCAGGAAGGACAGGTTTAGGGCTTCTGGTCCCAGGCTTTCGGGCCCTGAGTTGGTCTTAGGATCTCAGGGTTCGGGGCCAAGGACCTCTAGGGAAGTTTGTAGGGCGTGAGCCCCGATGGGGCGTAGCTCATCCTGTGAGGCGTTAGCCGAGCTTAGGGCGGTTCGGAACCTCCCCTCTGTTTCAGGGCGGGGCCTGTTGGACCCCGGTGCATGCTGCTGCCACTGCGTTTATGAAAACCCGTTCTCATGGGAATCCCTAGCAGCAACAGCGAGAAAAATAATGACCGACCATGAAGCTCAACTGTACTTGAAGGTTCATGGCCTGTGTGAAGTAGCGCCGCAACACTTCTCTTGTGACTACGAACAGTTAGCTGCCGCTGCAGAAAGACTCCAAGCAAGGATGCGAACACTAACGGCGGCCACGCCACAAGCCTCAAACATAAACTTCAAATCCTATCAGAGGAACGTGTACAAAGCAGCCCCCCCACCCAAAATTTAAAAAAAAACAACTACTGTAGAAGCCGAATGAAAATCTCCTAGCCCCTGGACCCTAAACAATCTAAGACCTTTAAAGCTCATGCCTATACCCTCTAAACCCTGCAAACCCATGATAAAACCCCACAAAATACATCCTACAAGCGCGATGAAGTCTACAGAGCCTGCAAGCCTTACCAGCCCACTACCCCTTATAAGCCCTACCCTAAACCCCAAACCCTAAACCCGAAAAAGGCACCGAAGCAACCCGTGGCCTCCCCTCCGCGCGGCTGGGGCTCGGCGGACGTCCCAGGCCCGGCGGTGGGGCGAAGTTCATGGCGGGCATCGGTTCCTGGAATGTTTCCGGTTTACGGTTTAGGGTTTAGGGGTTTAGGGTTGTTTTTGGGGTTTTGGGTTTTTTTTCGGTTTAGGGTTTAGGGGTTTAGGGGTTTAGGGGTTTAGGGTTTAGGGTTTACAGTTTTGGGTGAAGGGCTCAGGGTTTGATCTGGGGGGCTTCGGATTACCAGGGGGTAAGTTGGCATAAGGGATCCGGACGCGGCTATTTCGGGTTTTAGGCGAAGGCGTCTCCTTGTCGTCGGACTCCTAAAAACCAAGCGGAAACCCCGAGTCCCACATGTTTCGAAGCGTGCTCTTCTACTACGAAGCTACCCTGGGGCTCACGACTCAGAGCTGAGGGAACGAAGTTGAAAAAGGACCGTTCAAAGGGTGCTTTTTTTATCAAGGTCAAGGTCACTATCAGGTTTTAACATGGTTGCAGGGCTCGACGAATGTTTCCAGTCGGGTTTTCTGGGATTCAGGTGATTAGGGTTTCGGGTTAAGGGTTTAGCCGCTAAAGTTTAGCCTAGGAACAGACGCTGCATGAAACCGATTATAAACATCGCTTCTTCCAAAATAACCTGCAATCAAAAAATGCCAAACATCCATTCAAGCCCTTCTGCATCCCAGCACCGTCAACCGAACAAAACGCGATCGAGAAAGTCTAAATCCCGAAGCTTTAACCCCCCTGATCCGTGTCTACGATCCTGAACACAAAACTCGACAATATCCCAAACCTCAAGCTCCTTGACATCCGAGAACACGAAACCCCAAAATCCCGAAGCCCGGAAGACCGAAACTCCTTAAACCCTCAACTCTTTGGGTTCTTGCTAAGGGATTTAATTTAAGTTACCATAATAGGGATCTTATAGGGATTTAATTTAAGTTACCATAACAGGGATCTTATAGTAGATAATGCGGTTTTCTTACTATGGTAACTTAAATTAAATCAAATCCCCTAACAAGAACCCGGCTCTCACAAGCCACAGCACCCCACCGGAAGCGCTAAGCTTAGCACCCTCGAACCCACAAACATCAACTCTACGTGAGGCCCCCCCAGGACCCACTTTACCAATAATCTACCTTTACTACGGATGACGACAATGCTAATAATATCAAGGCCAATTAATAATAATGATACGAACAAGAATAATAATACGAATAATAATAATACGGGTGTCCGTTTTCCTCGCACGTATGCCGCAACCAGGAGACCCGCAGCAGCCCTATAGAAACCCCTGCACTTGGGTGACACAGGGGGCCTTAGTAGTCAGAATAGGACTGGGGGTTTGCTAAAGTAAACATACGGTTGATGATATAAATCCTGCATTACCCGTAATAAGGAAAATACCATAATTCCCATAGGTTAGGGTCCTTAAGGTCATACAGGATTTATATCATCAGCAGCATCATACAGAACCCCTAAGGTACATGTTCAAGCCTTCTATACCCTAAACCCTAAACCCTTAAACCCTACACCCTAAACTCTACACCCTAAACCCTAAACCCTGAACCCTAAACCCCTAAACCCTAAACCCCTAAACGGCCCTAAACCCTAAACCCTGAACCCTAAACCGTTAAACCCTAAACATCAACTGGCCGGAGATCCGGCGGAGGGAGGTAGTCATCCTCCTCAGACGGCGTCCTCGCACCCTCCTCCTCCTGAGGCTTGATCTGGGAGGTAACGGTTTGACTCAAAAGGTTTAGGGTTTAAGGGTTTAGGGCCCTGTTGGGTTTTGGGGGCTTGATCCGGGAGGGTTTTACTGTATAGGCCTTGATAGGGATGTAGAAGGGGCTCGAGAATGGCTGTATAGGGTGCAATAAGGGCTCTGGGGCTGGAGGGTTGGATTTTGGGTTTGGGTTGCGGGGTATGGGGTTGAAGGTTGAGGGCTTAAGCCTAGAGTTAGCATAAGGATTTTTCAGTCGAGGTGTCGGCAAGTAGGGGCTTCCCGTGTTGGGGCCTGCCTTGCGGATCCGCCCTTGTTTCTTGAATGCCCATATAAAAACCAAGCTGCAGAGCGGAGGGTACATTGGGATATGGTTTTTGCCGTGCATTCTATGAACTGCATGTCCGAACTAGAAGGAATGTCAAATACAAGAGACGGATACGTAGAGGCTCGATGATTGCCAGTAGTGATACTCAGTAGTGTTGGAAGCAGTTTTTCAGACTTGGTTGCTGGGAACATTGATTTTGACACCGGCCAGGACGTTGATTGACGGTGAGAACCGTTAGCATCATGTTGTTACCGATGATGCTGAAGATGGGTTGGGAGAAGCCGATGATGGTGATGGAGATGAGGGTAGAGGAGACTGCGACGAGGATAGCCGGTATGATGGCGATGGCCAGAACCGTAGTGATGATGATGCGGAAGATGAATCAGCAAGAGATGATGACGGTGATGGTGATGATGATGATGATGATGATCATGATGATGATTCTTGTGACGATCATAATGGTGCTGATGATGACGATGACGTTGATGATGAAGATGGTGCTGATGATGACGATGACACTGGTGATAATGATGATGACGATGATGCTGGCGATGAAGATGATGTTGATGATGACGATGACACTGATGGTGAAGATGATGGTGAGCTGAAGACGATATTGATGATGACGATGCCGATGATTATGCTGATGATGATGATGATGATGACGATGGTGGTGGTGGTGATGATGATGATGTTGATGATGGCCGGACACTTCATGATACCAGCAATGCTTAGCGGTTGTAGGATTGAAAAATTCGAGTGTGCTAGTATCGCTATCCCCGAGCCGACATGGCATGCTGGCATCCACCTCCCCTTCACCTGCGACGCTCAAAAGCCTTGTGTACTGACTGGTCTGTATTTTGGAAGTCAGAGCTTATGCTTTCGAACCTCGGATTCTGTGGTTTACGCAGTATTAAAGGGTCCCCCTCTCATTGGCTTCTCTTGCGGACAGATACACAAGTAAGACCTTTTCAGCTCGAAAATGCCTTTGCACAGGCTTCTTCCCTAGAAACTAAAGTCCTGAAAAACAAAAACCCACAACCCTAAAACCCCTACCCCTGAACTCGAAAACCATCCAACAATCCGCAAAGCCCTAAACAACCCTTACACAGGCCTGAGCCCCAAAACTCAAATCCGCAAAGGCCTGGTGGGAGTCAACGACATCGTACGCTGGCATGCCTCTGAGGTTCAGACATAAGGATGCACAGGCCCAAGGATTCTTCTAGAGGTCCTAGAAACAAGGATGCACAGGGCTAAGGATTCTTCTAAAGGTCCTAGAAATGGAGTTCAGGGTGTAGGGCTTGCGGTTCATGGCGTACTGCTACGATAAGCGTTGCTTGAAGGCTTGCTAGAAGGGTTCCTTGGAGGCTGACTATAGGGGTTCGGAGGGTACTATACTAAAGTTACGCTTGGGGTTACGAGGGGATACTGTTACTAATTATTCCGACCCCTTGATTACAACCCCGCAGATTGTGCCTTCGTCGGGTTCTGAGGGGTGCAGGGTTAGGGTTTAGGGCTCATAGGGCTTCGAGTTTAGGGTTTAGGGTTTGGGTTCGGGTGGCGCGTGGAGATTTTGAATGATAGAGCTTGCAAGCATAGGCCGCAGAAAGAGCAAGCAGAAATCTCTCAACATGCTTGCTGTGCTAAGTTAAACAGAAGACCACGTTATATTGAGCAACATGCTTCCTGTTCATAAACCCGGGGAAAGTTGAGGAGACTTGTACGTTCAATCTTCTGGCTGGAAGCCGTCATGGGCTTTCAGATAGTTGGGTTTGCGACCCGGCGGACCCTAATAGAAAACCTGAACAACAAGGTCCTGTTCAAGGTATACGCAAATAAAGTATCCCCTGGTTTTAACTAGCCCCAAGTAAACCAATCTAACCCTGAAAAACCGTAGAAACCAACTGAACCCTTACAACAACGCGCATCGTACCCGTATAGCACCCCCGTGTAGCCTTATGGGAACACTTACGGTACTCTTTTGTGCTAATGCAACCTAAAGCACAACAAGTCCGGGTTGAGGGTTAGGGGCGCAACCCCCAGAGAGGGGTTTTCGTACACCCCGACATATTCAACAACTCTGCCTCCAAACCTTGCAGACCTGAGAAAGTTCTACGAATCCGCACCCTAAACACGAAAACCAAGAGGGCCCCCCTGGCGCCTGTTGCACGGCCCGGCACGAATTCGGGGGCATTGGTGCGCCATGCAAAGGATGGACCTCTGGGCGAGAAAGCCCAGAGCTCTTGGGGTTTCGGGTTTAGGGTTTAGGGGTTTAGGGTTTAGGGTTTTGGGCTCAGGGCCCCAATGATTTATGTAATACAATGTAGGGGCCTTAATAATTAGAATAGGGTTTTTTGGGGGGCTCCTTATCATAATTATAGTATAAGATACCCCAAACCCCTATTCTAATTATCAAGCTCCCTATATTAAGGTCTTGCAGGTTGGGATATGGTGTAGGGAAGAACCCTGCAAACTTGCAAATCCCTATAAAGACGCATACAGCCCGAGGAAGAACTTCAAGGACCCTTACAACAACTCTCCAACTCTCCCAAGGGCTCCAAGGCCCAAAACCCAAACACCGCAACTCAATAAGACAAAAAATGACAACAACAAAGCAAAAATCACCAGCTTCGCCAAGAGGCCCTCTTGTGGTAGGCCCAAGCTCGCACCTGTGGACTTCTCGAACTCTGAAGGATGCTTGTGTCGGGTTTGACGGTGCTTTAAGAGCACGGTTTAGGGTTTAGGGTGTGGGTTTGAGGGTTTAGGCTTTTCTGCGGTGCTTTAAGAAGTGTAGAAAGGGGGTCGTATTTGTACAGAGTTCAGACGGTTTTGAACTGGTCTTCTGAGTCTTCTGAGGGGTTTTCACGAGGGCTGACAGTTTATTAAGGGCTTCCGTGCCCCCCCTTTGTTGACAAGGGTATGTTCCCTTCCGCGGTTTCAATGAAGGAGATCCCAAATTCAGGCTGCAACCCTTAGACTTATGGAGACTCCTTACAAACCCAAAAGCCCTAAACGCCAACTCGCACCTCCTTGCAAGTTCGGCGGAGCCGACGGCTGCGCCGAGGGCGGCGGCGGCACTCTCACTATCGGAGCCGCTCGCAGCATCGGGGCGGGATCCTGGAATTGAGTCCCTCAAGGCTTCCCTTTAACAATAAGAGTTACTATAAGGGGTTACTAGGGGTTACTAGAAGAATAAGAGCTACTGTAAGAGTTACTCTAAGGGCTACTATAAGGGTACTTTTTTTTTGGGGCTTGGGGCTTGAGGGCGTTGCGGGCTTCGAGTTTAGGGCCTAGGGGCTGTAGGAATTTAGGGGTTTACAAGGTCTAGGGCTTAACGGCTTTTAAGAGTTTAGGGTTTAAGGTTATTTTCTAGGGGTAAAGGTTTAGAGCTTGGGGTTTAGGGCTTAAGGGCTTTAGGGCTCTAGCGCTTCGTTGTTTAGGGCAGTGGGCTCTGAACAGCTTGCAAGGATTTCTGAGAAATTTGTGCTGGGCTTAGGGTTTAGAAGGCTATGCAAGAGGGCCTTTGTGCGTGATCAACAGGGTAGCATGATCTTTTCAGGGTTGGGGTCGCGGGGTTGCAGAAGGTGTGAAAGAGTTCAAGCCTTTATTTAGGGATATAATCAGCCTGTGTCACACATCAGGGGCCCGCTTGGGAGAAACCCCTAAACCCTAAGGCCTAAACCTTAAAACCTAAACCCTAAGGCCTAAACTCCTACATAAGACCATAAACCTCTAAGCGTTTAACCCCCAAGCCTGGCAGTTGCGCACCTCGCTGGACCACGGCGGCGGGGGAAGATGGGCAGTCGGCCTCAACAGTACCCTCTACGAGGGCTTCTATAAGAGCTATTAGAAGGGTTACGATGAAGGTTATTACAAGGGCCACCAGAAGGTCACTACAAGGGTTGCCAGCACTGTTCTGTAAAATGGCTCGTGGGATGTGAGACGTTTGAAGTCAGGATAGATCATCATCGCCGCAGCTGCCATGCATGGAAACCTACCAAAATCCTGAAACCACTTCTCAACTCCTACTAGAAGTCCTCCAAAGCCTAAGCCCTAAACCCTAAACCAAAGCCCGGTAGAAACCCGCGAAAGCCGGCCTGACGTCCTCTTGCCGCCTCTCTAATCCGAGGCCAGGCCTTTCGCAGCTAGAAGTTGCTGTCAGGGGTATCTAAAGGAACCCTTAAACCCTTAACCCTAAACCCTTAAACCCTTAAACCCTTAAACCCTTAAACCCTAAACCCTTAAAGGAACCCCTAAAGGGACCTTTACGGGCTCTGGCTTTTGCTTACAAAGAGGGTTACTAGGGTTAGGGGTTCAGGGCTGCAGAGTTGGGTTAGACTTTGGGGCTTGGCGTGAGAATTTCGGGTCCAAGAAAATTTTGGTACCTCACCTCCACTTTTGGCCCTGGGGGCAGAAAGTATAAACCCTAGACCCGTAAACCCCTAGACCCCTAAACCCCTAAAACCCTATATTCCCCAAATGAGCCTGGGGTTCCTAAGCGGCGGATCTCTGAGGCGCTCAGGGTTTAGGGTCTCTTAAGGTTCTGGATTCAGGGTCTAGGGTTTAGAGTTTAGGGACCCTAAGCCTAGGCCCTAAACCCCAAAAAAGCCCCCTTGCCTAAACCCTAAAGCCATGTACGGATGAGGGTGGATCAGAGTTAGGTTCAGCGCTTGAGATCCGAGGCTCAGTTTTCTCTTGTGATGATAAGTCTAAACTCATAACAAGCATTTCCTATAGATATAGGGTTTAGGGTTTAGGGTTTTGGGTTTTGGGTTTAGGGTTTGGGGTTTTTGGGGTTTTGGGTTTGGGTTTGAAGGATCTGGAAGATAGACAGATTCTCCGGGCCGCATCCGCAAAGGTGGAGAAGATAACACATGTAAAGATGTCCCAAAGCAGGATATCAATAAAAGAGCCTCAACCCCTCAGAGAAATTAGAAAACCCCCGAACAGAAGGCAAATGGTTATTAATAAGACTTCATGTGTGTTTAATGATTAAAAAATCTCCAGACCAAACGTGAAAGCTATAGGCTAACCTAAACAAAAAGATTACCAAATCGAAGAAACAAGCTCTGTTGGAAGTGATTTCAGTACAACTCCTGTAAAGATAGGTAAACAGAATTGTAGTAAGAGCGAAGATGAATAACCTATCTGATGTATCTTCTAGATGTTTAGGCGTCCAAAATACCAAGTTTCCAAAAAAGACCAACATCAAAAAAATAAAACTAAACCTTAAACCACTGAAGAGAAACCGAATGAAAAGAGCTCCAGGCCCTCAAAGCCCCTCAACCCCATAGTTCAGCCCTGGGCAGGGCTTAGGGTTTAGGGCTTAGGGCTTAGGGTTTGGGTTTGGGGCTCAGGGCTTAGGATTTGTGGCTTAGGGTGTGGAGCTTGGGGTTTGGGGTTTAGGGTTTAGGGCTTCAGGTTCAAGAATCGGGGGAGAGGCTGAGAGTGCCTAGCTGTCAAGGCTTAGGGTCTAGGCCTCTAAACTGCTCGAGCGTCAACCCCAACCTTGAAAGCAGAACCGGGGTTTAGGGTTTAGGGTTTTGGGGTTTAGGGTTTAGGGTTTAGGGCTTAGGGGTTAGGGCGAAGAGTCATCCCCACACGACCCCTAAATCAAACACTGCTAGTAAAACAACGACCCCAAAAAACCCTAAAACCCTTAAAAGCATACTTACGGGAACCAAAAACCCACCCGTAAAGGAACGCCTTCCAAGGGAATCCTGGGCCGGCCTCGGGTCGTCGGCCCACCTTTCCGGTGGTGCGGGCCTTTCGGCTGCTGCGAGATGTACAGGGTTTAGGGCTTAGGGCTTTAGGGCTTTAGGGCTTTAGGGCTTTAGGGCTTTAGGGCTTAGGGCTTGAGGGCTTTAGGGCGTCAGGCCTTTAGAAGGTTCAGGGCTTTAGGGTTTTTTGAGGGTTTAGGGCCTCACAGTTTAAGGGTTTAGGGCTCAGGGGTTTATGAAAGCAGCCTGCAGACAATCCGAGCGAGATCTAGGGTTTAGGGCTTTTTTCTTCTTAAGCGCCTTTTTTTCCAACTCGCAGAGCCAGAGATCCCTTACAGGAATGCAAACACAGCTGCATTAAGCCATGTCGAGTAGCCACACCCTCAGACGTCACCCGTCACATTCAACCGTGCCATAGCTCCGTAGTTTCACCCGGGTTGTCGCACCGAGACCCTTCCGACCCAATGCCCTTGTCTTCATAGTCACCCGCGCCACGACCGTGTTCTTGTGCTGACATAGTAGGGGCCTCACGACCAGAAAATGCCCCTAAGGAACCCTGTCCATGGACCACTCCAGCGCCCTTCATGTCTAGCACCGTGTCCTGAACCACTTCACTCAGTCCACCCACAGCTGCACCACTGGATGTCGAGTTGGTCATCATCCACCATGCGCTGTGCCCAGAACATTCCAAGCATCTCCTCACCAAACTGCCGAGCCAGAATCGAGTCGGCAAGCCTTCCCGCCCGCCAGTCTTGGTAAGCCCGCACATGCCTGGACTCAAGAGAAGGGTCCTTGTCCGGCTCGGTCGCGTCCTCCAACCTTCCACCAGGCGGGGGCAGATTCGCTTCTGCTGTGGCGGCTCCTCCGGTGGCTGGTACTGTGCTCGCCGGGCTAGCTGATTCCCCTTCGCTTGGCACTGTGAATCGCAGGTTGAGGCAGCCCTGGCCGCCTTCCAGCGGCACGTCGAGCCGCACTTTGTCAGCTCAGCCTGAGCTCAGCTCCACCTGAACACAAGGTCGCTTGGGAGGCCTGTAGAGGTTCAACTCCAAGCTGTCCTCGACGGCGATAGGCGAGCTCGGTGGCGAGTCCGTGGCATCATGATGCATGGCATGTCGTGGCTTGGCCATTTGCCAGCTGCCGATTGGCTTCCAGGATGCTCGGGGAGGAACCGTGTCACTCGTTCCCACACCTGTCGAAGCCACGGCATATTCTCATCTGGTACTTTGCTGCCATAGCAGTCGTCGTCCACCATTGCGAGCAGGGCCGTAAGTGTTGCAGCTCGCCCCTGCATGTGGCCCAGAAGATAGCCTTCCGCAGTATTAGTAGCTCGATGGGCCAGCAGGCGGAGGGGGTCTCCGCTGTTTGGCTCCTTTCCCCTTTGCCATAACCTTCCAGCTTAAGTCGGATTTCCTCCAGTAACTCATGCCATAGCCCTTCGAGGTGCCTCGACTGCATCACTGACCACTTCATCCCCGGCCTCGTGGTAACCCACCTCTCCCTTGTATGCTCCACTCCCTGTCTCGTCATACTCCACCACCGCATTCGCAGGCACCGATTTTCACTAGTCCCACCAGGTGGAACTGCTCCCTAAGAGGTGCTCCGCAAGGGTTGGTGTCGAGGCAGTCGCCCCAACCACACCGAAAATAAGGAGTCGCCGTTGCGGGGTCACTACAATCTTGCTTCAGCCGAGGTGCTGGCGGAACATTCCGGGCGCTGCAAGCATCCATCACTTGTCCTATCAGACCCCTTCCTAGTACCTGATGCATGTCTGTCGACCCCCTGTACAAGGAACGTCCATGGCAGAGACCCACCGAAGCTTGCATTGTAGCCACTTAGCTCTATCCATGGCAATAGCCCTCCAGGGATGACCCTCCGACGCCCGATCCATGTCCTTTTCCAGCTTGGGGTAGTGTCGAGGGTGCTGGATACGCTCTAAGGCAGGTTTGCTCTGTTCATGGGTCCACCACTCTCTGGTTCTGTAGTTGTCCCGATGCTGCTCCCGGAATATCCCTATCCCCTCCACGGGCTCTGTGGCCTGCGAATCCCACCAGGCCCTCTGCTGAAACCCTAACCATGTCTCGTCAGCTCGCTTACCCACTCGCATGCACCATACAACCAACTGCAACTGGAGACTGTTGAGCACCTGCATCCCTCCAGAATCAGGCGTCACCGCTGCCATACACCATAAGACCAGGTTCCCTATCACCCTGTCAAGCAGCTTCACTCGGCCTTTCAGCGGTGTCCTGGCTCTGAGCAAATGTCTGAGTGCCCAAAACTTGTCTTTGGCTCGCTGCATGAACGGTGCTAACAATTCAGAAGCACTGGCGCCCACCCGGAAGGGCACCCCCATAATGGTGAAAGTGGGAGCCACGGGATCGCTTTCCCAAAAACTCGTAC